GTGAAGAGAGGGTTTCGACCTGGGTGAGAATTTGTAAAACTGCTTGGGTCTATGAAATTTGGAGCTTAGACTTGTCATGAGGCAATTGCTCTTTTCCTGGAATTGAAGTTGGGGCATCTTCAGAATTGGGATTTAAATGTGTGCTTGTGAAAGAACTTGGAATCACACAGCTTCTCCTCCCCCGAAACCTCCCCTTGTTTTTGATTTTGTTCAGTGTGTTTTTAAGAACCGAAATAATGAGGTTTGAGGCTTTGTTCGGGTCAAACCCCTTGAATGAAGCAGGGCTGGTAGCCAGTGTCAGTGCCTCTGGAATTGAGGTTAAGAACGGAGGCCAGTTCATTTCTTGACTTCCCCCTCCCCCAATGGGCACAGCATTATGTGTCACTCTCAGTATTTGTTCATCTTAGGAAACAGATCAGATACTGGAAAGGCTCTGCAGTGGGTTTGCCCTTCTGGGGGAACTGAGCCAATCAGGGGAACATTTCTGTAGCAATTATTGCCACCCAGTCAAGACCGAGGGTTTCAGAGCCGAGGAAACCACCCGGTCACACTCTGACTTCCTCACACCTTGTAAGGTGATGCCTCCCGTGTTCTTCCAGTTGGGTCTCTGGATTATGGCAGAAGATTGCAGCTGAGAATAAACTAGCACCCATCACTTCCTGAGCCTCGGGGGTCCTGAAGCACCTGGAAAACATAAAAGCCATTGTCCCAGCTCTCCTGCCCTCACAGCCTGGCTGCCCTTCTCTCTTCTGTATCCTGACTTACCTTCTAGAATCTCACAATCCATAGGGGCCAATTCTGCTTTCATATTTGCAGCAATAGGGAACTCACTGTCCCCTTATTCCATTTTTGAATAATCCTTAAAACGGGCTTTACAGATCTGCACTCCTTTACCTCCCTTGATCCTGGATTCCTTTGTCGCCCATTCTGATCCTTTGCTTGGAACACGGTGAAGCAATCCAGGACCTCTACCGGAATTATTACTGATAGAATCCACTCAGCATCTGGGGCTGGCAGCTTCTTTGGAGTAATTAACTATCCCCCAGCCTTCCAGAGGGATAGTTAATTATAGCCTTGCCTGGGTCCATTCCTTCCGGAGAGGTTTAATCTCTACTGGATGGGACCAGAACACCACCCCCCTAAAAAAGGACCTTCGTCATTTATCTGAGTCTTTAGATTTCAAGTTCCCATGAAACTGAGTGCAGTTAAATGTCTTTCTATGTTTTAATGCAAGTTACAAGCCAAGCGAAGGCGAGGCTCCACATAAACTGATGCCCTCTGTGATAAACCCAGGTGGGGAAGCGGGCTTTGTTTTGATTCCTCTGTCATCTGCCCATTTCACAAAATGGCTGCTGCGAGTGTTCCTGATCTGCCCGATAGTCCTCGAGCCAGTCACGCCAACTCGGGCCTGATGTGTTTATTCACTGACTTGTCAAGCCTAGAGCTAGGGTGGCATGGTCTATTATAACACTGACATTTGTATATCCCGTAAAGAAATGGCTCACAGCTGAATCACATGCAAATGCTTCTAATCTTCGCTTCTTGCGAAGCAGCTTAGCTGAAGTCACGCTCTGGAACTTGTGTCTTAAACCTGTGGCTCGGTGCTCCCCTTGCCCAGACTGGACCTTGGCCTGAGGTGCCTGGGAGCAGAGCGAGAGAAAGCCGAGCCGGACGACTTCCCCAGAGCGAGCCATTATTTTACAAGAATGAATCACTTAACCACATGGCTAACTTCAAAGGTTTTGACTTTTATTTTAGGGTGAGGGGAAGACACAAGGGGAGAGGCCATCATATTAAAGTGAGGTTTCAGATCAAAAGACTTTAGTGTGAAGGCAGGTCCGTGATTCCACAGCTTGCCCACACACACTGGGGACAGGAAGAGGAGGCTGGAAGATATCCGAGTTTTCTTTTGCCTTTGGCTGCGTATTCCTTCATATTATGATGGAAACATTTTTATTGGGGGATTTATTTTGTTCTCTGTTTTTGGTTTTTCTTTGAAGCTGGATGGAAGTCCAGGCTGGGTAAAGGGCTGACATCTCACAGAGGACATTCCCTCATGGTCTGTCTGGTCTGGGGTCTTTAAGTCTATAGAGTCCATGGACTCATCAAGTGAGCCTAAACCCCTGAAGTTGTTTACAGATTCTCATGAGTGTACCCATACATGCATGTTTCTGGGGAGAGGGTCCAAGGTTTCCGTCTTATTCACAAAGGTAGCTTAGCCCCCAAAGTAACTAATTCTATATCAGCTCAGAACCCTTAAACGGTGATGGAGGCCAATAAGCCAAGAAACCCGTGGGTTTTTCTGAACTCAACCCTGGCTCTGAAATAATGGCCCTGCATCCCTCCTGGATGCCATTGGAAAATGAGCTTTGCTTGTGGCCTACTGGGTAAATGCCACTCTTTGTCTGCAGAACAACGCGGCCCTGTCAGAGTGATGTATCACTTGGAAACCGGGGTGAGTGCCAGACCTGTCGCAATATTGTCACATCCTGATGGGATGTTGCAACCTCACCCTGAAACCTACAAGGTGGGAGAGTGGAGTCTCCTTGCATTTCCTGCGAATTTGCCCTTCCAGATTTCAGAGAAACCCCAGTCAGGTGCAGGCCCCTCCTGCTGACAATGCCAAGGGAGATTCTTGGCCCGAAGAAGAGGTTTCTCAGCTAACCAGAGCTTATGAAATCCCTGTCCTCCTTCTACCTTGGCTCGTGGAGAAACCACCGGGAATGCTGAGTCGTGACGAGCTGGGTGCTCTTCTGGTGACAGTGTATGTGTCCACGCATGCTGGGAAATCCAGAATCGTTGAGTTGGAATTACTTTTTCCCACTAACTTGAGCATTAGAGACCTGAGCCTGATTCTTGGCAGGGAAGACTTCTGTGAAATCTCTTATGTGTCGTTGTCTCTAGAATTGGCACCGAGTGGTGGTTGTGACTGAAGCCTCTGGATTCAAATTGTGTGTGTTCACATCGTGGCTCCACTTTCAGGCTGTGTGACTTCAGACAAGTCACCTGAACTCTCTGTGTCTCAGCTCCTGCACAGATCTTTGGATCATCTAGTAGCCACCTCAGAAGGTTGTTGAGTAAAGTGAATAGGTCATTCATGTATAAAGCAGAGCACAGTGCATGGTACATAGTAAGTGCTCAATAAACAGTATTAACCATTTTGTTTAGGAGCTAATGGTTATTCTAACTTTTTTGAATCATGAGCCACTCTTGACAATGGAAATGAATGCCTTGGGTGCTCTCCATTTGCATGCAGTTTCAGTCCATCCGTAATGTCCTTGAAGGCCACACAGGGATCGGTGAACCCTAGCTTAGGAAGCCCTGATGTACTGTGCACTGAGAAATGCATTTTACTGGCCCAGTTTCTTAACAGGATTGGCTTGCATTTAGGGACTACTCTGTATTTAAATTGCTGGGTTACTGATTGAGAGATTTTTTGGTAAGTTCTGCCTGGTCTTCCTGACACCTGAAGCGCCCATTCACACACACACACACACACACACACACACACGTGCGCGCGCACTGCTAGACCATTTATTTTTCTTTTTAAGAAGTTTTATTTCACCAGATCTGCCTCTGTCATCTTGTCTTTGGTGATACTCACAAGGGTTACCATAATGAGTCATTTGTTAAACTAATCTGTGTTTCTATAGTCCCCTGGTGGCCCTCTGTACTGAGCGCAGGCCAGTCAATGGCCCCTTTGTCAGACTGATTAAAATGTAACTTTGCTTGCCAAAAAAGGGCACTCCTCTGGCTTAAAAGCCATTTTTCTTTGTTATAAGTGTTTACATTTTGTATTATGTAAAAAGAAAACCCACACACATGCACACACACACACACACACACACACCTTCTTTCAGTGACCTATTTCCTTCAATGGCTTCCTGTGTCTCTCAGAATAAAAGCTAAAATCCAAAAAGAGTCCCATGAAGCCTTACTGATCTCAACCTCTGCCTCTCGTTCACAATCACGCTGGCTTCCTTCTATTCTGTGAATGTACCAAACACATACTGACCTCAGGGCCTTTGCATTTACTATTCTTATTCATAGATGGTTCTTCTGCAAGCTCTCTGCATGGCTGGCTGTCTCCCTCACATCCTCTGGTCCCCTTCTCTGAGAGGTCTTCTGTGACCACCTTATATTTAATTGCAAATTATTCCCACCTTCACATTTCTATCCCCATTTCTTACCCTGCAAGATTTTTCTTCATAGTATTTCTCATCTCTGTTTTATTTTGCTCATATACCACACACACAAACAGTGCCAGGCATGTAATAGGTGCTCAATAAATACTGGTTAAATGAGTGGATGAATGAATGGCAATGATGACTGTAGGAAATGGGTAAATTAAGCAGCTCTCATTGTTCCTTTTAGCAGAGTCACCTGAGATGAAAAAAGAGCAAGACCACCCTGCAAAGTCCCACACCAAAAAGCACAGTAAGTTGGCTGGCTTTCAGATGGCTGTTGTCCCTTCCCTTCAGGGCGGGTGTAACTGGAGGCCACTAGGTTTTAGACAAATATTGCCTCTGCCTGTCACCTCCACTTCTTTACCTCAGCCTGTTTAGGGTGAGACAGTGGGGGCATCACTTGCTGGCAAAGTAAGCCCCTCTGCAGTTTCTCAAAGTGGAGATCCACTGGAATTTCCTCTTTGTGCTGTGCTGTTTGTTCTAAAACTGAGATACCCAGTGAATGAGACCTGATAGGCACGAGGTTAGCAATTTCCCTCTCTCCAGAAAAATGGATGAGAAAAGAAGATGGGAAGTAAAAACGGAGATGTATTCTTTTTTTTGTTGTTGTTGACTGTTGGCTTTCCTACCTTTGTCGAGTGATTGTTCCAAGAAAGGACTGTTTACTTTTAATATTCAACAGTGCTCCTTGGAAGTTGTCTTTCCCCCAGTAATAAGACTTTATGAAAATATAGGAACTCTCAGAGACATGGAGGGGAGAGCTCAGAAAGAAATCATTTGGACATTGTTACATGTTCCGCAGAATTGAACGAACATAGCACAGTAAATGGTGAGGAGGTGTTGTGTAGCGCAGGTCTTGTGGGGGTCAAGTAGGATTTGGTTGCTAATCTTATTACAGTAGTTGCTTCATTGTCAAATTGGCCCCCTCAACTCCTACCAGACCCTGACCCAATACATTCTAGGAGTTAAAGTTCTAGAGCCCTGTTGATGTGCATTTGACTAAACCACAGTCGCTGGGTGAGAGTGCTATACTCGGGCTGAGGTTCTAGACAAAAGTGGTTGAAATTTGCTCGTCCGGGAAATGACAGATGACAAGGAATCCTGAGCAATTCATCAATAGTAATTAAAAGAGATTCCCCCTTGGGGCGCCTGGGTGGCTCAGTTGGTTAAGCGACTGCCTTCGGCTCAGGTCATGATCCTGGAGTCCCGGGATCGAGTCCCACATCAGGCTCCCTGCTCATCAGGGAGTCTGCTTCTCCCTCTGACCTTCCTCCCTCTCATGCTCTCTGTTTCTCATTCTCTCTCTCGCAAATAAATAAAATCTTAAAAAAAAAAAATTTTAAAAGAGATTCCCCCTGGCATAGGAGGTCTAAGACTTATTCCTTGGTCTTAGCTTTACCACTAGCTAATTGGGTGATCTTGGTCAAGTCACTTGAATTCTCTGTGTCTCAGTTTCCTGATATATAAACTGAAAAATTGTGCTAGTTCATTCTCAAATGCCTTTTTTTTTTAAGATAAAATATTTGGTGATTCTGTGATCTGACTGTGCTGGTGGATAGGGGAAAATTGAGTATGTCCTCCCTGATGGACGATGTTGCAACTCTATGCTTCCTCTCCTCCTTCTTGGCTGTGACTTAGGCCACTGATAAACTCCTTTTCCAACTTGTCCTCAGATCCACGAGGGACTCACTTATGGGAATTCATCCGTGATATCCTCCTGAACCCAGACAAGAACCCAGGGTTAATCAAGTGGGAAGATCGATCTGAGGGCATCTTCAGGTTCTTGAAATCAGAGGCTGTGGCCCAGCTATGGGGCAAAAAGAAGAACAACAGCAGCATGACCTATGAAAAACTCAGCCGAGCGATGAGGTGAGGAGTTTCCAGTCCTGACCATGACCACTTAATTCCCTGGCAGTCTTGGTCTGACCGGCCACCTTATGCAATGTCCTTTGTTACAGATATTACTACAAAAGAGAAATTCTGGAACGTGTAGACGGACGAAGGCTGGTATATAAATTTGGGAAGAACGCACGTGGATGGCGAGAAAATGAAAACTGAACCTGCCAACACTTTGAACACAAACCCAAACATTCCCCAAATGATAGCAAGCCAAGAGCTCCTGGACATAAGTATTCCAAAGACTACTTTTCTCTGATATTTATGTACCTTGAGGGGGAAAAACATCCACTTCTAATCGGAAGAAGGAACACTACAGTTGATAAAATTATTTTGTTACTTTGAAGTATGTCCTATATGGGGAACAAACGTACACAGTTTTCTGTGAAATATGATGCTGTATGTGGTCGTGATTTGTTTTTGCCTCTATTGTGAAGTTCCTTTCCACTGCAAGAAGAGCAGGATTTGTAGCCTTGTGCTTCTTGCTAAGAGAAAGAAAAAAAATTAGAGGGCATTAAATGTTTTTATATGCAAAATGATTAGGAGAAGATGATGTGTCCTCTGGGCATGAGCATCCACGTGGCCTCATCAGGAGAGGCGGGTGGGGTTGCTAGGATGAACTCCAAGGTCTCAGGTTGACAGGATGAACCCAAGGATGCTGGGAAGTTTAACTTGACCTTTAGGAGCCAGTGAGTGGAGCATGAAGACTTCCAAAATCCAAGTGGACTATAATCACTGAGTAATCACATGACTTGCAATGCTTAAATCAGCAAGAATAATGGTGAAGGCTTTCTACTCATTCAAGAATGATTTACCTGATGCCAACGCTGTCTCTCTCCCACCCTCTTCGATGACTGGGGAAAAAATCTTCAAATGCCATCTCTGCTCACTTCTAGGTATTTAAGAGAGGCTCTAACCTTGCTTGTTTTTAATCCCAATTGTTCGAAAATAAATGGGAAAAAGGAGGTGGTGATGAGTTTGCTTTTGTATTCCTATAGCCCATCGATTCTCGATTAGCAAAATGGACATTTTGGGCTGAGTAATTCTTTGTTGTGCATTATTTGGCTGTCTTGTGCATTGTGGGATGTTTAGCAGTATCCGTGACCTTTACCCACTGGAGGCCAGTTGCACTCTTATCCCAAAAGTTGTGACATTTTCAGACATTGCCAGATTTCCCTTGAGGGGCAAAATTGTCCTTGATTGAGAACCACTGATGTAGTCTGCCGAGATGAAGATGGTGATTTACTCTCAGAACAAAAATATGCATAGATCTTTCATTCCCTAGAGTGAAGTAAAAGCAAGACTCCAAAGTCAACCAATTTTTAAGTTCTAAAATATTAGGGACAATGGGAATTTTAGAAATGGGAAATCTAGAGGTTCCAAACCCCAGATGAGAGCCAAAGTCAGATAAATTAAACACAGTAATAGCAAGAATTATAATAGAAGACATTTCACTAGAATGACAAAGCAGAGTAAAAATTACATTGCAAAAGGAAATGCTGAGAGAAGAATTGGGTGGGGGGAGTGGAGAGAGAGAGAGAGAGAGATCCAGGGAAAATCTTTCCTCTTTTGGATAATCTCTTTCCCGTCTTATCTGGACTCCTCCCAAAGTGAATGGTGTGTTGCCTAGATTTGTGTCTACAGGATTTTTTTTTTTTTTAAAAGACAGAGAAAAGAAAGGTAGATGGAAGAGAAACAGAAAGCTCAGCTCAGGAGCTACGGTCAGTAAGACGTTGGGGATTTCTTCAGTGGAATTGTTCTGGGGTGTTCTGGTGTCACTGGGGCCTGAAGCCTGGGAGGAGCATGAGCCTGTAGACACTTTGAAAATGGGTTTGAACACCTAGATCCCTTTTGCACCTTTTCTTTCTGGCTCCGCATGTCCTTGGCTTTCTCCTCCCTTTTGCCTCTCTATCTGGAGCCATAATATGGGAAGGGAGACAGCTAATCTCATCAACGAATGGAGCACCTACCACTGTGTCTTACCCAACGAAGGTGAGCAATTCATAGTCAGAGGTTGCAAAGTGTTTGTAATGTATTCAGAAGGTTGGAAGTAAGAATTAAGAATTTGTCCTGATTATAATGAGAGCCATTATGGATGGTGACCTTGGAATGGCAGCTTAGTGAGATGATCTTCTGAAGGTACAACCAAGTCCATTTGTATTTCTGCCTGGCTTGGTCACCTCCACAGAGGTGTTATTTGGTGTTGTCAAGTAACAGTTACTGAGGGAACTGAGAGAAATAACAATGAGCAACACAGACCTAAAGCATGCTGCATAAAAAGACACACCTTGCTTTCCCAGCATTTTACTATGTTTCACTCAGAACAAATTAAACATCCAAATATCTGAATCGGTGTAAACGCATGAATGTGTGTGTGTCTGTGTGCATCTGAATCGTGTGGAGTTATTAGGGACGTCTGCTAATTCGCTCTCTGCTCTTTCTTCCCTGGCTTTGCCTATTCATCACCCAGGGGGGCTAGATCCTTCCCTGAGCTCACCCTTCTTAAACCTGCAAGTTTCTCACATTCCTCCAATTTGGCCTTGGCTCTTTCTGCACCCTCCCCATCGACGAGCAATTTCTACTAGGTAGTAAGTAAATCTGGGGAGTACCGATTGGAACAGTTCTGCAGATAATTAACAGATTGTGCTATTTGTTGAAAGTGACGGTTTCTTGGCACCCAGTTTCTGCTTAAATAGGCTGGAGTATTAAGTTCTCAGCATATCTCTCTATTGTCTTGGCTTGAGTTGATGCATTTTCTATGTGCTGTTCGTGACTTGGAGAACTCAAGGTAATTGAGCCATGCCAACTTGGGGTGTGAACAGAATACTTCCCACCACAGTGTTGCAAGGGAGAGCAAAATCCCAGAGATAAGCCAGCATCAGGTGAAGCGTCCCCCCCGCCCCCCGCCCCGCCCCACCCAGTCTCTTGGGGACTCACAGCTTCTCACTCAAGAAGCTTATCTGTGCTGGATGCTCACAATGTCCCTAAACCTGGTCTCCTTGAGCTCTCAAGGCTTAGGCTCTAATTTACCATTTTCATGGGAATCTGAGGCAGGAAATGTGTTGCTAAGACTTTACCAGATGCACATAATCTGAGTCTCCTGGATATGTGACTTGATGAAATTTGAGCAAGGTCCTGGATCCCAGAGACATACATCCACAGCTTCTTGAACTTGCCTTCTGAACAGGGCAGACCCACGTGATGAGCTTTCCTTTGAACATGCTGGTCCTTCCTCAAAGTTCTTGCCTTGCTAGACTGTAAGCTCTTGGAGGGCAGGGACTATATCTTATCCATATTGTTTCCCAGCACCTAGCATGGGCTAGGTCCTTGATAAATATGTGTTGACTTAATGAATGAATGTCTTCTGGAAGACTTCTCCATATCCATAATCGGGATGTGAATCATTTCTTCCCCAGAATAAGAGCACAATGGCCAAAACTTCAAGAACATATTATGGAATAGATGAACGTTCTACTGCGAGGCTTTTTACTTTGCCTTCCTACTTGTCCTAAAATGAAACCAAACAGACAGGTTGTTTGGTTCCACAAGTCAAGATATGTTGGATGAGAATTCTGTTGCCTTATTAGGAGCTGTGAGACTTATCTGGTACAAGAAGCCAGTAATGGACCTTTAAACTGTTTCAACCAATGAAGATTATGAATGTGTTTATATGATGTACTTTGCTATTTAAGTGTAAAGCAGTTCTAAGTTTTAGTATTTGGGCGTTGGTTTATATATATATTTTTGTCTTTTTGAAGAAAGGGATCTTTTGATAAGGTTAGTCATGCATGTTAGATCTTAATTTTGCAAGTGTGTTGTCTTTCAAATCTATAAAATAGAGGAAAAGGTAAAATAGTAAGAGGGAAAGGCAATTATCTTATTCTTTTATTGTTAAAAAAAGCATTTTTTTCATGGAGCCATCTATGTGAGGAGCTTCTTTAATTCTACAGAATGTAAGAGATGTTCCACATGACCCTATTGCATGGATACATGCGGTGTGAAAGAAGGAACAGCACAGCAATCACAATATCAGAGCTGAATTAACTTCAGCATTGGTTCTCAGGATGCCTTTTCTGGAATAGGAGATAGAGCACTTAATAAAAACCCATCAAGACTGTGCCTTATGAACCACTGAAATGTATAAGCCCTCACAAGTTTAGCTTAATTGGGATTAATCTTTCTGTAGCTATCTGCATAATTCTTGCTTTTCTCCACATTTGGCTTCTGGGTCGACAATTTGTGGGAGACAATCCTACTGCCGCTATTTTTTTTTTTAAAATCAGAAATCTTGCCCTTTAAACTATGTGAAATTCAAACTGAGTATTTTTATTTTATGAAAGAATTATATTTTTCAAAGTATGGGTTTGTTGTTGTTGTTTGATGGGTCCCAGAAAACACTAATAAAAACCAGAGACCAGCCTGTAATTGTATGTTTCATGCTTCAACAAACTACCCAAAACTGGGCTCAGAGGAAATGTAGTTGGTCTACAGCAACAAAATGCATGCAATTCTTGCATAAAATTATTCCATAAGCATTTATTGAACATCTACCATGTGCCAGGCACTTTCCTAGACACTAAACTATGGTAGAAAAATGAAAGAGATAAAAAAAAAAAAACCCTCTACTCTCATGAAGTTCATGTTTCATTGGATGGAAACAGACAAAAAACCAAAAACTAACAAGCAAATATCAGATATGTAGTAAGGAAATATGGAGCAAAAAGGACTGGAGAGTGCTGGGGTGTGTAGGGACGTATGCAAATTTCACCAGGGATAAGGAGGAAACATTTCAGCGAAGACCCGAAAGATGTAAGGAAAGGAGCCATGCAGATAAGAGGGAACGATACCTTACTGAAGGGACCAGCAAGTGCAAAGGTCCTGAGGTTCCTGACATGTGTTCCTGACATGTCCAAGGAGCAGTGAGGAAGTCTATTTGCCAGAGCAGAATAAGCAATAGTGGGAAATGATGTAAACGAGGCGCTAGATGACATAGAACACGGAGAACATTATGAAGGCTCCAGGTTTTCTTTTGAGTGAGGTGGGGAGCCACAGAGAAGTGACACGCTCTCACTTCTGCTTTAAAACAACCCCTCTGGCTGTTGTGTTGAGAATGAATTGCAGGGAGACATTCAATGCCAAACAAACATTCTTACTGAAGGATGAATAAAAGGAGGAAGAAAAGCTCACACTCACATCCCAGCTTCCCATATGATACTTAGCAAATATTTCAAGGCAGTAAGTGAGCTCCACCTGTTCATAACATATTTCTCCTGGGGCCCAGAAAGTCTCAGTCAATTCTTAACTTCGTAACCAATAATATGAAAATAATAATAGGTGAGCATTTGAGGAAGATCCACTGGTGCCAGGAACTGTGATATGTGCTTTACATACATTATTACATTTAATCCTCCTGCAAGTCTCTGATATATAGATATGATCTCCAATTTTCCAATGAAGGAAACAAAGGTCAGAAAGGTTAAATGACTTTCTTAAGGTCACACAGCTAGGAATAAGTGGTAAAGCTGTCTTTGTGCACCCAGACCTCAGTTCCCCAAAGCCTATCTTCCTAATCCTGATAATCTCTAGTTCATCGGGATGCTAATGTCCGGTGAGAGGGAAAGCAAGAAGTAAACAACACACATGCACACACGGTTTCATGGTTAAATATATTGGAGTAATACTGAGTTAAGCAAAGTCTTACGGAGTTATTCTGTAGGAATTCTTAGAGCCTTTATGATGATGGTGTGCACTGTGAATCTATAAGAGAGGGAAAAGTGTTCCCAACTTTCCAAACGTATGTAACATGGACCTTTTTCATCAAAGGCAGGCTTGATGAAAGCGAGACCCTTTAGATGCCCAGGAAAATGATGATATGTAGAGATTACTTCTCTGACTTAGGAAAAGCAGTATTTTCATGTTTGGGCCAAATTAATATGCTGATAATATTCATGCACGTCACACTTGG